TTTAGAACCCTGTTGACCCAATATCACCTAGTTGACTCCTGGAGGGAGCTCCACCCACTTAGAGAACAATACACATTCTATTCAAATCCCCACAGCGTCTTTTCACGCATCGACCACATTCTACTACGCCCTGATGCTCTTACAAAGGTATCTCTTCGGCAGAGATTAACCCAGTCTCCTGGTCTGACCATGACTCTGTGTTGATCAATATTGCCTTAACTATCCTCGCTCAACAGGTTTCTCCTGGTCGATGCGAGACTCCTTACTTACTAACCCTGACATTTTAGCGTCGACTCAAGCCTCCCTGACTGAATATTTTCAGTTGAACTCTGAGGCGGTCTCTTCTCCGTTAACGGTCTAGGAAGCCCATAAACCTACAATTAGGGGGCGGTTGATTCAACTTGCATCCCAAGCCAAAAGAAAAAGCACATCTCGCATTGACCAGTTGTAATCTGAACTACAAATGGCTTCCCAAACTTTTCAACAGAGGCACACTCCTGAACACAGGTCCTGCCTGTTCCATATCCGAACAGAACAAAATCTTTGCCTAACATCTCTCGAAGGACAGATTGGCCTGGACCAAACATGGGTTCTATCTTAAAGGGGACAAGCCCGACACAATGCTAGCACACAGACTTAGGGAAGCCAACGCCAGAAGAAACCCTATCCAATTACGTCTGGGAGGGGCCCCTGTCACAGCTCACCCCATCAAAATATTGGATGCCTTCCAGTCCCACTTGCAGACCCTCTATCGTGCCAGGGGTACTTTAGACAAACCTAATTTAGATGCATTCTTCGCTACCTTAACCCTTCCCACCCTCTCTGAGGAATATAAACAACTAATTGATTCCCCTATTACGATAGCAGAGATCACTGCCACATTTAAACTCTTCGGCACTGGGAAGCGTCCGGGGACCGGATGGCTTCAGTGCCATCTATTACAAAAAATTAACTGAAACCTTGGCCTCCCCTATGGCTGCATACTTCAATGCCTTGCGTGCAGGAGGTGAACTGAGACAGGAATCACTGCTATCCTCCATTTGTATGATTCCCAAACCGGATACCGATCACACCTCCTGCACTAACTTACGCCCAATCTCACTAATTAACGCAGATCTGAAAATACTTACCAAAATCCTGACCCTTCGTCTCAGGTCCCCTCTTTTGGAACGGATATTTAAGGATTAAGTGGGCTTTATGTTGGGCCCTCAGGCGGGTGACAGTGTCCGGAGAATATCCCATCTGCTACACATTTACCACCAGAGACGTATTCCCACCATGCTTCTGGCTTTGGATATTAGTAAAGCATTTGACTCAGTTGGGTGGGAATATTTGAACTATACACTCACCAGATGGGGCTTTGGAAGCTACTTTATGTGATGGATATGGGCATTATACTCCAAACCGACTGCCTACATCCAATATCAGGGCTTTCACTCACGCACATTTGAAATTACTAGAGGGACGAGACAGGGGTGCCCTCTTTCCCCCCTTCTCTTCGCCCTGGCCATAGAGCCCCTGGCTCAGGCGATACGGCAACACACTGATATTAAAGGTCTGGAAGTCACAGGTTATCACCATAAAATGAGTCTATTCGCTGATGATGCGTTACTGATTCTCACCGAACCCCTGATATCACTTCCAAATCTTCAGCCACTACTACAGCTATTTGGTAGCCTCTCGGGTCTCTGTGTCAACATGGACAAATCCAAAGCACTTGATGTCTCCCTTCCCCCTTCCATGCACTCCTCCCTGCAACATTCGTTTACATATCGGTAGGCACACTCCGAATTGCCCTATCTAGGGATTCACCTCTCCCCTTCTTACGCTCAAATGTATCAGGCCAATTATCCCAAACTATTTTCTCATATGGAGGCCCTACTGTCATTGTGGGAGAAACATCCTATCTCGTGGCTTGGTAGAGTCGCAGCGGTCCAGATGACCCTGCTTCCTAAATTCCTGTACCACTCAAGAGTCCTCCCCGTCCCTATCCCCACCTTTCGCCTTAGGCAATTCCAACGACGTATACTTCGCTTCATATGGAAGGGGTAATCTCCCAATTGGTTCTCTACCGGAGCAAGATGACGGGGGGACTGGGACTTCCCTTTTTTCACAAATACTATCAGGCTGCCCAGTTAACCCATTTAGTGTGTTGGTTTTCGGAAGAGCGAAATGCCACTGTGGGTCTCATTGGAAGCCTACGCCTGTTCCCCAATAAATCTCCTTAATCTTCCTTGGCTACCTCCCAAAATAGGCAGATCACTGAATAACCCAATCCTCACACACACCTTAAAAATATGGGAGGGGTTGCACCGGGGGTTTGTTTAGCTCAGGACTGTATTTATAGTCAAAACGTTTCTTTTTATTTTATAGTTTTTGAATAAAGAGGTGAGGGGATTGAAGTTATCCGGTTTTTATTGTTGACTGTGATTTACTCTCCTATAACAGCAGCCAGAGAAAGGAGAGATGCTATTCTGGGGCCACCAAAAACCTCTGTCCAATGCTTTCATCCCTGGGTTGCAGAGGTAGCATGAGGCGGAGGTTGAGGCTACAGGTGAAGAGGAGGAGAAAGGTGGACAAGCTTTTCTCCCTTCCCAAACCCTTGAGCTTTATACATGGATGGGGTGAGCAGTTGAAGGACAACGTTGTCCTCAGTGACGATAAGGACTTTTGTGGCATCTGGGGTCATTCATGCTCCAATTCCTGCTCAAGGATCCATGCATTCAGGTAATCAAGGAGAGGGACCGGTACTGTTTTTCCAACCTTTAGAATCCCCAGTACAAGACAAAAGTGGCCAGAGGGAAAGGGGCGGGCATCCCTCTGCTGACCAAAAACTACGGTACCCAAAATTGTCCATGGGTGACGCTTTAAGTTTCTTTATAGGTCTTCAGTTAATTTTAGTTTTGTAAAAAGCAGGAAAAGGTTAGAAATTCTGTCAGGTTTAGTGGTTGTCTGTGACTCCATTGGAGATTAGGGATGCACCTATACCGATACTAGTATCAGTATCGGTGCCGATACCCAGTATTTGGGTGAGTACTCATGCTCGCCCAAATGCTCCGATTTTTACCCCTGATACTGGAAATTCCGGTCAGAGGGCGATCTCCTTCTGACTAGCCGTGCTACAAGGGAGCCTGGGCAGTGGGTTATGACCTGCCTCCTGGCTTCCTGATTGGCTAGGAAGCCGGCTTCACTCATTGTTAGGCAGTCTGGCTTCCTGACATCTGATAGGATGCAGTCACTGTTTTGGCGAAAGTTTTTTCCTTAGCACAGCTAATTTTTAAATTGAACTTTGTCCAGTCTTGTAGAGCCAACAAAGCCACCCACTGGGCGAATTTTGCATGATTCTGTAGAAATCGATCTTAAAGGGTAAGTTCACCTTTCCACAAGATGTGGAAAAAAAATCGAATTCATACCCACATACCCTGGTCCCTACTGCACCTTAGAATTAACTGGCCCGCTGTCTGGAATAATCATAATGCTTGCAAATACAGCGCTCATTGGTCAGCACAGTCACATGACCACTCTGACCAATAAGAAGCCTTTCCTACTTCCAGATACCTGGTTGTGAAGTTTCTCATCGGTCAATTCTAGTATATGGATCACTACACCGGCTGGTGGGGGCATCACAGCCGGGATCAGGCAAGGTGCATCCAGGACCAGGGGAGGTGAGGAGGCTGTAAGTTCATGTGGAAAGGTGGACTTACCATTTAATTTAAGCTGTGTATGGCCACCTTGACCCTTCCACACTCTATCAAACACAAAATACGATGGGCTGGAGCTCACCTTCATGCTCACTTAAAGGAGAACTATGAGGTGAGTGCTTTTCACTCACCTCATAGTTCTAGCCGACCTGTGACAATGAGACTGTCACAGGTCGGCTCAGTAGATCGGGAGGTGAGCGAACACATACCGGGTTCGCTCCCCTCTCGATCCTGTCACGGCTCTCTGCCGTGAGAGGGGCTGCATTCCCCTCTCCGATCTGCCAGCGCTGACTGGCGGAACGGACGGGGGAGGGGGCGGGAACAGCTGGCTCTGCCTCTAGATAGGCAGAGCCAGCTGTCACTCACGCAGCTGGGCGGATCCCGACGTCTAAGGCCCCATTCACACTGCGCGATTCGCATTGAATCGCGGCAAAATCCGCTCCAAAAAGGGTCCTGCTGTAGCGACACACGACAGCAGGACCCTTTGCCCCATTGCCAAGCATTGGAGCGCGATATCGCGCAGTAAATAGCCGCGATATCGCGGGAATTACCACGCGATAAATCGCTCAATGTGAATGGGGCCTCAGTCGGGATCCGGCGTCTCAGTATACCGCGAGCTGTAGCTCGCGGTATACTGAGCTTAGGGTAACGGGAGGATGCTAGTTTGTGTCCTCCCGTTACCCTAAGGAGAACTATGGGGAAAAACACTGACCCCATAGTTCTCCTTTAACGCACAGCGGCTGTGTACTTTCCCACTGTGTACTTTTTTTTGTAGAACTTTATTGAAATGCCACAAGTGATGTTTCATTCAGTTTTACAGGCAGTGGGGTGCAAGGCGGTTGTTCCGAGTCACATCATGCTGCGCTGAGAAAAGTACAGTCTGCCACTGCACACCACCATGTTCCCATCACAATGCAGTGCTGCGAAGCCCAAGCCCATCTGGCACAAGTAGATTGCCTTGTCCTGCCTTGGGTTGAATTGGCCCTTAGTGACAGGTTCTCTTATTAAACGGTCAGAATGGCTGAGTCTCTTACAAGTAAATTGACAAGCATAAGAACATTAAAAGTGTTTTTAGGTGGATACATCAGAAACGCCGCCAATGGATGAGAATAATAAGACAACGTCTGTCTCGTGGCATTTCCAGTGACTAAGGTTGTCATAGGAGAGCCTACTGCACGGCTATGTCTATCACCATAGCACCTCCTAGCTCTACACATGCGCACTGGCCCTCAACAAACCGACTTACGTAACGTTACATCACGTCGCAGCGCGTACCACGTGGTCAGACTACAGCGTAGCCCTAAGAAGGCGCGCAGCGTGAGGACGTAGAGAGAAGCCGCCGGAAGTAGTTGGTGAGGACAATTCTCTGGTCGGTTGTTCCCCGTGCAGTTTAGAAACTGGAGAAGATGGCCGTGGAGTCCCGGGTGACGCAGGAGGAGATTAAGAAAGAACCGGAGAAGCCGATAGACCGGGAGAAGGTGAGGAGGGGGACTCCCCGGTGCCACTGGGCTAGGGTCACACCCAGAGGGCCGTCCCGATCCACCCGGGCGGGAATAACATGTATGTAAACTCAGGCTCAGTGTGCTGGGCACATGAAGTGGTCGTGGATGGAAATGCTGCACCATGGCGGTTCATCAGGCGATCCAACATGTGGCTGGTCGTGGTGACACTTCTGGGGGGATCTATGCAGCGGCTGTAGGCAGCTGTTCATTGCAGCAAAGAACATGAAAGCCATTGTATTGATCTGCCTCTAACCTTCACTGCAATATAAGATTTTTCATCGTTTTAACACAACCCCCCCCCCCCATGTTACAGATTGCAGGCAGTTTTTTGGGTGGGCATGTACCCAGGGCATGAATGGCCTCTGCTAAACAAGTGACCTGCTGTGTCTTCATAAAGGTGTAAAGGGGAAGTGGCTCAGTGCATGACATGGAAGATAATGTAGTAACTGTGGCTACTACATAAGGTCTGGACAAATACCAGGAGCCAGGTTGCCAGTGATCATTAAAAATCCCAGTTGGTGTCAATGGAGCTGACTCTTAAAAATGTATTGTCTCCTGGATTGGACAGACTGGCTCCTGAATTTCATATTCATTTGTGTGTCCCTCCCCACTACTATATACCTGACAATCCCTAGGGAGCCAAGGACTTTCATTGTGCCAAGCTAGACACAGTGTAAGTATATATACATTTTTTTGCTGGAGTTCATCTTTAAACATTCTATTTTATAGCTTTAAGTGCAAAGTACACTCAGGTCTTGTCAAACTCTTGAGTTGTCCTATCTCCTCTACACACGTCTTTTGTTATCTTAACCAGTTGACATCCGCGGTGTTAAACCCCCTTCCCATCCAGGCCATTTTTCAGTATTCAGCGCTGCGGTACTTTAACTGACATTTATTCCGTCATGCAGCGCTGTACTGAAATGAATTTTATACCCTTTTTTGGGGACAGATAGAGCTTTCTTTTGGTGGTATACCTCATCCTTATTTTGGACTATGGGATGATTAGACTTTATTGTGGACAGATCTGTGGGTGGGAGGGGTTGAGTAGTTTAACAAGACAGTTGGGAGGGTTGACACCACTCAGGCCACAAGCCCTACAACAAGAGGTAGGGGGCTATGTACACTTCTGGAGGACCAGCAGGTATTATTCTGTACTTGTGACTTGTGTCATGTATTGCAGAGAGGTAGTGTGGTTTTTATTTTGCCTTGACGTGCGCTTTAAAGCAGAGCAATGTTGTCCCCGCGATGTGTATGTTAATCTTTGTATTGAGACACAACTATCACTGATGCATTACCTCCATTCCAGACGTGTCCCCTACTTCTCAGAGTGTTCACTACAAACATTGGGAGACATCACAGGCCGGATGAGTTCTCAAGAGGAAATGTCCCGTCCAGTGAACTGCAGATCTATACATGGTAGGAGCATGTTATCCTGTTTTACTTCAGTATGTTTGCTGGCTGCTTTTGTATCCTGAGCTTCATGTGCACCTGTGCCCGGACTACAGACTAGGGATGCAACTAATGATTATTTTCAATCGATTTAGTTGGCTGATTTATTTTTTCGATAAATCTGATTAAAAAAATAAATAAATACCATCCTTAATGTAAAATACACAAATGCAGTGCTACAAACATAAAGATTACTTCAGAAGAAAACTGCATGCACAATGTTTGCAATTGCACCACACTGGAACACACTGCATTGTGGTACTGTGCGGTTCTGTGCGAGCGATCATACTGCAGGCAGTAGGCGTGTTTAAGGTGCCATTCAAATGAATGGCACGGCAATGCACCTCCCACACCAGAATTTGTCACGCTGAAACAAAAAAATATTTTTCCCCCACTTTTTTTAGTTTATTTTACAATTACTGTTTTTTTTAAACTTCCTGGTTCTCTGTTTTGCACAAATGATGTGAGTGCCCACGCAATGCATCATGGGAAGGTTACATCAGCAGAGTATTGCTGGGAAATCTCATCTGCAATCTTATGAGATCTCAGGGAAAGGCATTTCCCCAATCATCTTCCAGGACAGCAACCTGAGAGAGATGATTGGTTCCACCTTCTACAGGAAACATAATTAGCAAAACAGTTAAAAGCCCCTCCCCTTCCCCTCGTACCTCAGTTTAGATTGTGTTTCCTACCGTCCAGGACCACGTCACGTTTGTTCTTTTTCTTCCTGACCGGTTGGCCTTGAGGTCACGGATCCCCCTCTGTGCGGCTCTGCTGTTGAAGGTGTTTTCCCTCCCTTCTGGCCTTGCTGTAGAGCGGAGGGGTGTTTTTCCCTATGTTGTTTGAAAGGCCAGGATCTGGTTCCTTTCTTCCCTTAAAGGATCCACTCCTGAGGCCCCCAGGCCGGTGGCCCTGTCCTGCTTCCCCCTGCTTGATGTAGGGGAGCTGGTAGTGGGGTTCTGTAGCGGTGTCCGGCATGCTGGAGCGGTGAATCGAGCGGGCAGTGGACTGAGAGGCACTTCCGGTGTGTTCCAAGCCTCGTCTTGGGGCGCATGTCGTCACTTCCGGTCGCGGGTGATTTCTTAGTCCTAGTCACATGTGTCAGAGTTCCAGGAAGTAAAGGGAGATGTATTCATCTGGGCTTACTAAAAATTGCCACTGTGAGAAGAATGGCGAGGGGATAATAAGGTATGCAAAGAATAAAAAGAAGTATGTGTTGGAAGGTTGTCATTACTAAACATTTCTAAAGGTGTCTTTGTTTTCATTTATGGATATGGGTAAAACAAACCATCACCGACCTCTCTAAATGCATATACTGTGACAAGGTTTTGTTACGTTTCTTGCACCATAGACGCACATAGTGTTTATTTACATTGCCAGGGTTCCCCAAATTCTGCTCTTTATGGGAAGTAAAGGGCAAGGAAGCTAGGATTTCGGTGCTCTGAGTTCTGAAGATGAATTTCTCCACAATACCTATAGCTACAGAGGTGAATGAGGGCTTGTTTTAAAGGAAAAGTCCAGTTATCCTTTAGGCCTCTTTAAACTGATATCTCCACTTCAGAATATGTAAATATTTTTTATGTGCATAGTCTGGCCACAAGTTCTCTTTAAACATTTCCATTAAAATACATATTTTCTGTGTTTTTAAATTAAACGTGACGTGGCCTGGCCTAGACATGCCTAAAGTAACTATAGACCAGGAATGCCTGCCATCAAGTGCCCATCTTCATGTGTTTGACTTTTGGATCATGTGTAAAATGGCGGCCAGCCATGCATGTGTGATCCTGCTGCTGAGCATGCAACAATATAATTACTGTAGAAGGGAACATGTTCTTCCCTAATGATCACAAAATTTATGTTAGACGCGGGGACTCACAGCAGTTGTGACCTAAAAGTGTCTTGTAAGATGACATTTTCTTTTCTTTGCTCTCAATAGGATGGATGCCACTTTGAAAGAGTTAACCAGTTTAGTAAAAGAAGTTTACCCGGAGGCCCGGAAGAAGGGCACGCATTTCAGCTTTGCTATTGTTTATCCAGATCTGAAGAGACCCAGCTACAGGTATATACACCTTCCCCATTCCCTGCAAGGGTTAAATGCTCGTTGCAGGCACCCGGAATTCCTATCTCCAGGGAAATGCATTTCCAGGCGCTGGGCGGTAGTTTCTTCTACATTTAGCCCTGCTTCGGTCGGTCGGCAGAGCTAAATGTAGAGGGTGAGCCATTTTGTACAGGTGATCTTGAGTGACTGTACTGGCGCTTAAGATCATTGTTAGCAGCCTGATTGTCACTCCCCCTCCCCGAATACCGCCTCTCTTCCCACCTGCTGCAATTCTCCCAGGCTACCGTCTGTCACCGCCCACTGTCTGTCACCGCCTGCTGTGGTTTTAGTTCAGGATAGGGAGCAGAGAACGTCTGTTCTCTGCTCCGTGTGAACACTGAGACAGGAGAGCTGCACTTACAGCCTTCCCATCTCAGCTGTCACAGGGATCAGGCTAGATCATGCTCCTGTATTGGAGGTGACAGGTTCCATAAAGAGAACCTGTCACCTCCGAATGTTATCACATGGGCTTGTTGGCTCCTGTGTGATAACTAAAGTGGGGGGGGGGGGGGGGAAAAAAAAAAAAAAAATTTTT